CCCCCCGCAAGGGGGCGAAACCCACTGCAACCACGCATATACTTTTCCACCCACACAATACCCAACAACTAACCTATACTGTAAGAAGGGTGTAAACAAAGCATCGATTGAATGATATTGGTATTGTATCGTGCTTTCGTATTGTAGAAAATAGAAATTTTAATGCTTCATAACTTTTGAACGGATCGTGACCACCACTTTTCCGGCGTTCTAAAATACGATAACTGCTAATTCTAGACCAAAATGGAAACTCCATGTAAATTTTGAGGCCAATCAGAGGTAAAAACCCTAATATATTTACCAAAAAACCTAAAACTGAAGAGAAATGCGACAGTTTTGGAGCACCTTGGATAATAATTAAAAAATATATCGGAAACGAACAAAGGTGTACACAGGATGGTTCAGTTTCTGTATGTTCATATTTTATATCTTTCGAATATGCTCGGCAAAATTTAGTATTAGCATTAGAATATTACACGCTTACATAGATTATTAAAATAAATAAATATTTTTAACAAATACTCTTTTGTATCTTTATTTTTACGCTGAAATCGATATAAATAAAAGAGACAATATATACTATGTATATTTTCAGTTTAGCAAACTAGCTGGATCCATAAAGTTACTGGCGATATATTTTTCACAGTCCTAGTCTGAACCACCCTTGTAATTACGAAATCTATACTCGATAGAGGGGACGAGAATTCCCCTTTTGCGCACGTTCGCGAAGCGCCTCGCCGTCTCTCAGAGCGCGTCGATGCGTCGTCTTACAAATTCCTCCTCGCGCGAGCAAATACTCGTTCGCGTAGTCGTTCCGTTCTCCCCCGATCGATCTTTCTTTTTCTTTCCTTTCTGATCATTTTTTTACTTCATCTCTCGCGATTCTAAGATCGCAGGCATTAGATTCCGTTGTTCCCCTTCCCTTCCCCCTGAAGAGCAAACCTTCTCCTCTCGTTCATCACGGTGCGCGTAAAATGATCCTCTTTACCCGCTTCTTTACACGCTCGGATTGCAACATGCCACCGAAGAATCGTCGTCTCCGTGTGGCGCCAGAGCTACATAAAATACTACTTCGAAAACATCGCACGTTTCTGCCCCCGTCCTGCCGACGTAACCTGCAATACGTCGTTCCCATTTCCCTGTACAACCCCCTCGAAGCTTTTCTGTCCTTTCCTTGCGACTTGGAGATCCCGTAGAAGGTTGTCTCACCGGTGTAAATCTTGTGCAAAACGGAATCGGCGCACCCACTAAGAGCACGCTTAACCAGTCAAGTGGCGTTCGTCAATATGTCAATTACTATCAAAAAAACTGTGGCAGAAATAAGGATAAGATACGCAAAACTTGGTCTTTTGATAGTCTCACGGTTGGATAAATTAGAAGCAGAAATCTCGGGAAGTAAAAATATTAATTCGAAAAGATTTATGTGTCTAGTCAGTCCTCCTGACTCAAGCTCGATCGGTCGAAGCTATACAAACGGTCGAGTCTGTTGAAAGCAGATTTTGGCAAGTATCTGCTACAAATTTTGTCGGCAGAAAGACTACAGTTTTGATCCCGGTTCTGATATATCACATAATGCCAACAGAACGCTAACAAAAGATAACAGAATCTGCTAAAATAATCAGACAGCAGATTAGCGACAAAAATCGAGCAGATCCTGCCGGAACCGTTCAGGCTCACCGCGATTTCTGATGCTAATAATCTGCTCACATTGCAGTCAGTAGGCTTTGTCTGGGCGATTTCTACTGCCAGTCTGCTGTCTGATTATGTTAGCAGACTGCTGACAGAACATAAGCTGAATGCGGACCGAGTTGGTGTCAATCTGCTAACATGTCTAATCAAATCTGCTACCAATCTGTCGACAGACTGCTATTATTTTGCTTACGGGGTACGTACTCAATTGTTTCGTACTTGGTACTACTACTTTTTCACGTCTACTTCACGGTCTACTAGTTGGTTCTCGACAGCGCAAATCACGTGGATCGAAAGGAATCGATCAGGATCGAGGTATTCGCCACTTGACCGGTTAACAATCGAAATAGTACTTTGCCCACCTCTCTCTGGCGCGACTCCTTTTTCTCTTTGCTGCCATTTTCTTTTTTCTTTTTCTCTCTTTTTTTTAAAACAATTCGAGGTGGAACTCCAAGCGAGCAGTGGCGCCCGTTTTGCCGTATAGTAGCGCGCAACGATTCGTCGATGAAAATCGTTCCTAGTTTACAAGACAAAGACAGGAGGGATTCGGGGATTCGAGAGTCGAGAAGATTATGAGGAACTAAACGAGGAGGTTGCAGGAGGGCCGCTACATGGGATTCGGTTCACGGAAGGGTAGAGGGACGGTGCACCGACACGGGATCTCGAGGACGATCGAGAGAGGATCGAGGGATCGATGCACAAATAAAAGAGAGAATAAATGCTGAAAGAGATAGACTCACCTCCTCACATAACGCCAGCATACGCCTCGTGCTTTCCAGAGACTGAAACAAAGCCGATCATGCCGGTTACTACATCAGTGTGACGCGAGGAATTGCGGATGTACTGATTAAAATTTTAATTTCTTCGAAGAAACTGTAACTTGGCTATTTCATCTTCATTACATTCGCTATGTTACATTATTTCCTAAGAAAAAGCGGAAGTATGATTTTTTCCGGATTCCAACGCCCGCCGCGCCGATAATTTTTGTACTTCGCGGATATAATTTATTTGAAAAAATCAATTTCATCATGCTATTAATATACCAATTCTCAAAATTTATCAAAGTCTAAGGATTCTTTTAATTAACAAAGATGACATTGATAATAACATCAATAAAACATGCGCTAACGGTTTCGTGAATAAATTGCTTATTTTATTTTGATTATCCTAAACTAACAATACATAAACAAGTTACGGTAAGCTCGTATTCAAGAGGCTAAATAACGTCTCAGATTTGCAGAAAATTGTAAAAGGGTTGCCGGATGTTTCTATTCGACAAGTTTCCGACAGCGCTGATATGCAGGAGAGAACTTTGTGCTGATTGTTGCCTTTCTATTGTTGCGGATAAACACGAGAGTTCATCCTCGCGCGCGACTATACTCCAAGTTTCGACGAAATTGCGTCGGTTTCAGCCCCCGCGTCGTAAATCCTCGTGACTGTCACATCGCGCGACATGTATATACATATACGCACAGATATATACATATATTCTATATATATCTTAACTCACTTCATCCGTAACCTGGCCGGCCTTGAGTTGTAACTCCTGCAGTTCGGTGCGAGGCGGGCCACCCTCAGGGGCCGCACCCGCCACTGACGTCGGTGCAGGCATCGCCGGCTGGTGGTCTGACGCTTGATGGGGCTAGATGCTGGGATGACAGTCCTCTTCTTTTCGGCGAATCTTCCCGCCTGCCGGCGACGGTGCGACGCCTGCTTTCTGGTTACCGGGACCGGGACGGCGAGTTTACCGCAGCCTGCAACACACAACCAGCAAACGCGAGATCAGACTCGTTAGTTCCGTGGGCGGAGAGAGCGACGCGGTTGCTCGAAGTTTGAATTCCTACGTGGATACGCGGTGCGCGGTATCGAACATGACGTTCGCCAGGACCTGGCGAAACGGAAACGCCGTCCTCACGTCCACCCAGAGAGAGACCACCCTCTCTCCTCTGGGACGACGAGGAGCAGGGTGGAAAGGACAATGTCACGTTGAACAACCACCGTCTGCAAGGAACCTTTCCCTTCGGCGACCGCGCGACGGCGAAACCGGTGCGCAGGCGGTAACGAGCAAGCGAACGAGCAAACCTGAGATGTCTCGTTTCTCGTGCTCGACCGAGACCACGAAGAGTACCCCTCGCGAGATAGCCGGAGGGTAGCACTCGACGACGACGATGCCGGGGAGAGACTTTGCGGAATTCCGCGGGCGGAATGACAGCCGCGCCGCGGTGTGCCGGTTGTCGCGGCGAATGTATGTGTAAGTTTACGTGTGTGTATATGTGCGGTCAGCGCGTGTGCGCACACTTACACACGACGACGTAGAAAATCAATACCCCCGACCGACCGACCCACCCACCGACGATGGCGTCAGGACGCGCAGACGCGGCGCGACGTCTCCGTCGTCATCATCGGCATTCGTTCGGTTTCGTCTATTCTCTTCGGCTGACTCCCTCAACACCGACGTGGCCGGCGCGACCAGGACAAACGATCAGCTGGTCGGTCGGACTAGGTGTGGGCAGGTCAAGAAACAGAAACGCGTTTCCCGCCGCAAATCGTCGTTAGAGCGGGATAAAAGAGCATTTGTAATGAGAAACTTTTTAGATGGAAGATTTGAGCAAGGGACAGAAAGTTTCTGCTGCTCTTTTTGACGAAATAAGAAATGCTTAATATTAAAATATTTAAAATATCAAATATTTGAAGCTTTAAATTTGAATCCTTGTATGATATATGTCTCCTTTTTCTTTTTTTCAGTTTTTTCAATCTTGACATTCACTTGTAGCAAATATTAATTTTAATTCTTGTTTGCATGACTTTAAATAATTTTGCATTAAACACTCAAAAAATAGCCTTGGGATTCTTCTAAAAATTATCTGGAAAAAAATTGATCGAAAATATAAAAATGGAAAAAAATTTATATTACGAGATCACAAAGACCTTTCTTACGTATTCAAGGTTTTAAAAATGATTGCAAATGGAAACAGTTAATATATCCAAGTATTAGAATAAATAATTAAGTCGAATACGGGCACGCATGGTCGGACTGGCCAATAACTATTCCAGCGAGAGGTGTAAGTAACGACTATAGCCTCGTAGACCTCAGAGAATTCCCGGGGGACCGTTGAAAATCGGAGGATTCGTATTGTCTGAAGCGAACATGAACGAGCTGTATCTTAGGAAAATGCTTGCGAAATATTTGCGATCAGAAGCCACCCGCTAATTCGTGATCTTGAATCTATCTATAGTAGTCCATAATTCTGGACATTGTCTTGACGTGTGTCAGCGTTTATCACCTTCCTTCTCCATTAAGAAAAAGAAAGATAGTATAAACTGGTGGCAAAGGAAAGTGAACGCCGGTACACGCCAAGTCAATACCCACAATTATAAAACTTGGATTAGTAAGCACAGATCTAGGATAACTGCGTCGCGATGCAAACAATCTCGAGATTTTGCGAGCGTGGGCGAGACGTATTATTCACGAAATATGTAAATGTATCGTTAAAAGGACGGGGCAAAGAATGAAAATATAATGGCGATGCAATAGCTAATGTGATAGTACCTATACCAGGAACAACGTAACGCATGGCGGCGTGATCTATTGCAGCCTTTGTCCTTGCCCTCGAGGAAGTTGGCAGGTTTCCAGGGTAAAAGATACCTCGCCATTGCACCGATCTCGGGCGTCGCTCGCCAAGATCACGGACAATATGATTGGAAAATCCGGATGGGATCAGCTCGTCGTGATGACCGCTAAAGCCGGTTAGGCAAATGCATTTAGGTTAGGTAAATGCACGATAATGAAATTGGCTTCTTATGGGAAAAAAGGCACAAACAAATCATAAATGTATTCGAAACAACAATCTTAATTTGTAATAACACTGTAATGTTAAAATAATGTTTTTCATTTTCTTTAGTAAAAAAAAAACATTTTCCAGAGTATGCTAACTTAACATGAAGAGAGAAGGAATGTATTTTCTCTTCTTAACAATGATATCTCTAAAAACTTCCCGAATCTTTAAAGAATTTTTATGTATTATAGACATTTTTACCTTTGTAAGCATCTTTAGGCAATTTACTTCATTTCTCCTTAAGTTATTTAAAGCTTGCAATTACTCACGTTGGGGAAAAATAAAAAACAACAAGATCTTTTTATCTCGTTTCTCCAAATACAAATATTTCATGAATTATGTATTATGATAACAAACAAACAAATGCAGACGTAGCAAATGAGGTCAACAGGCTCCGAAGTTTTCCGTTACCCGCGAGAAAAAAAGGAAAATTTTATGCAACTCTACGATTCTCAACGAGAGAGATAAGCGGGGAGCACACACTTCTGCACAACGCATAATGCGTAAGCATAAGAAAATTGATTGGTCCATACACATGTGCATAAGGAAATCATAGCATAGACCAATCAATTTTCTTATGCTTAAGCATTATGCGTTGTGCAGAAGTGTGTGCTCCCCGCTATAATCTTCTATAAGGGTTATGCAACCGTAATTGACGCGTGATCGTGGCGTCACGATACGACGACGACGTCAGTCGTGTATCCACCCACGACCTGGGTCATAGAAACACGCAAGTGGGTGGTGGAGGATACGCTAAATGACACGTGTGCGGTCGATCGTGCCGCAGCGTGTCACGACGCGACGATGCGGCGATCTGAATGCACTTGCATCAGTTTGTTGCACACGTTGTAACCCGTTTTATACTCGGAGTGGGAAAAGAGAAAAAGTGGCTTCGTCGAAACGCATACACGAGATAAAACTCGCGATAAAATGAGAGAAATAAAATTCGATTGCTTTGTGTATCCGACTCATTTGACTCCAAAGAAAAAAATAAAAAACAGAAAGATTTATAAGGTTGATTCACACTATACGGACCGTCACATTCTGGCAACGACACGTACCGGCACCGGCACGACAAATTTTACGTATATTCAGATGCTTCGGCAATCGACCGTCAGTTTTATAACAACCACAAAATGGATGGATCATCTAGCAATGATGAATTGGCTATTATGGCCTTACTTTTAAACGAAGATAAAGGCAAAGTAAAAAAAATGAAGAAAAAGAATCGAAAATGGGTACATCCTATATTAAAACAAAGAAAACTTGAAGGAGAGCATTGGACAATATTTTAAAATTTATTAAGGTGATGCTGGAGCCGTCTGTTTTACCACGTATTACGGCATTTCTTTGTCGTCACATAGCTTCATATTAATTTGACAGAATTAAAAATCCTTTTCCAGACGTGCAGTACATACATTACGGATCCAGGGGAACTCCGATTTTATATAGAAAACGAGAAAAAATTACGGAAGTACAGATTTCCTTATCTACTTTTATCCCAATATGGCGTCTCGAGTTGCTGTTAGCTCGTCACAAGATGTATTTCATATAATATAGAGATATACCCGTGGTACGAACGCGAAAACAAGTTCCCCTGACGTGCACAACAATAAAAACAACATAAACCCCCCAAATCAAGATTTGGAAGCGTAATATAAAAGTATACGGTCGATGTGTATCGTGCGTATCACAGTTGGAAAATTTGTGTTAAATATAACATAAATCACATGTCCAAAACAGTCCACTCAAATTTTTGTGTTACGTTAACATAATATGGATGTGTTAAATGGTAACATTGATACTATGTTAATATTTCAACAGAAAAAAAATGTACGTTTGATCGTACGTTGAAGTTACGTGTGTGTACAACGAACATAACTTTTATGTTGAAATTAACATATAAGAAATGTTCTTTTTACATTTTACAAATGTAACAACTCAAACTTTTGATTAGTATAATGTGTAAAAGTTACACTATTTATTTAAAAGTTTATTTTTTAACAAAAGATTTATGTTAACATAACGTTTTATTTTTGTTAAATGTAAATATAAAAAAATGTTATGTTTACAAATATAAGTAGAAAGGGCTGTAAGGGTCACAACGCGGATTACGGTGCGTTCAGATATAAATGTGATTTATTCCTCGAATTACAAAATTCCAAACGTTTTGGCTCCTGTCCGAGCCATCCTCAGTGGTATAATATTAATATCAAAAATATATATTGTCCCTTAACATGGTGAGTTTACTGTTTCAATTTGACAGAAACTTAGTGAGACTAAAAGGTCCAAATCAGTTAGTCTGGAGAAAAAATACATCGCAGTCAAACCGAATAATAAGAAAATAAGGCAAAGAGAATAATTTGTGCAGAGCGATCTATAAGACGAGATCCCATCGACACGACGCACAACGAAAGACAGTCTTAATGAAACTTTTTTTCAAAACGTTGGCAAAAATTGAAATTTTAATATTTTTATTTGGTTCTAGTTCACACGATAGCCACACATCCACAGATTAAGAGAATTTTTTTTTTTTTTAGGATGAACTGGAGATTCGGAATCGTGGGTACCGTTTTTTTACACAGCTGTCGTTGGGGCGCTGTACAGCGGATTCTTGACCATATATCAACTTGGAAAAATTTCTAAATACTCTTCAAATATCAATAAATATGATGTAAAAGTTTCAAAAAAGTGTATTCTTATGATTCCTTACAAACAATTCCCCCCAAAAAACAGCCTCTTGACTAGACGACCCCCTTAACACTCTTTTTCTGTAAATTTTAACACATTTAATAAATACGTTCAAATTGTGTTACTTTAACATATTTTTTTAAATTATTTTAATAATTTTACATTTTATATTTGTTAAGTTCAATTAACATAGCAGACATATGTTAAATCTACACATGTATGTGTTGATTATTATTTAACGCAAAAATTTTAACCAGCAGATTTTTTTCACAAAAATACAAAAATTTTCCAAATGTATGCGTGCAATGTTAGGTGCTATCCTTGTCAATATCCTTGTCTATACAAGGACAGATATAGGTCGATAACATAGAAAATGGTAATATTGTCGGTTATACAGACGGCTCCAGCATCACCTTAAAATATGAAGACAAATTTTACCAATATTTTAGAATGCCGCAATGCAAGTTTTTTGAATTATTAAAATTAATTGAGCCTATGTTACAAAAAGAAAATATGTCGTTTCGTGAGGCACGTTCACCGACAGAAAGACGCAGTTTGTTTAAGATAAACATTTTTTATTAAATTTACATTGTCTATGTATAATCTGTTTGTTCACCGAGATGTGGCATTGGAATTGACATATCGTAATATGATGGCAATGGAGTTGGAGTTGTTAAAGGTGAAGGAGATGCTGGTATAGTTGACATTGACGGTGACGATGGTGATACTGATATTGATGATAAAGGACGTGATACATACGGCCTAGTGTGATATAATTCGGCAGAATGTTGACGTATAGGTGCATTAGGAGGTTGCTCTAAAATTTGTTTCATTTCAAGATCAGAGATAATGGAGAATATTTGTCATTTAGCTATATTTTGATAGTAACGAGAAAAACTGTTTACCGTTGCTGCAATACTTGAAAAAAACGTGTCTATTGCATTAAATTGTTGAGTCGGTGGAGTTATTTGCGCTTTTGCAGTTTTTTTCTCCAACTAATATTTTATCATCACTGCTGATGCCGTTTCTGGTTGTGTTTGACATTTATTTTCTTTATTCTTAGCTTTAGTGATAATTTTTCTGTCAATTTCTTTTTGTTTTCTCTTTTTTTCATTTTCAGCGTGTAACTCCTCATCCACATTATCATCCTTGTCATCGTTTTTATCGTCGTTTCTATCATCTTTTCTATCATCGTTTCGATCTCTTTTATCATTGTTTCTATCATCTTCTTTCTCATTGTTTGTATCATCATATTCGTCTTCATTCGGTTCATCTTCATTATCATCATCACTGACATCTTCTAACGTACTGCATGTCTCTTTCTTGCATAAATGGTAGTAAGAACGACAATTCATCTTCAAATTTCCATTTTTTTATTTTTGAGGCGGCCTGTCCACTTTTTGTTTCACGTTTTTTTTAACGCTCTTCTAAAAAAATCTTGAACATTCGTCCATGTTTTTTTACAAGCAGTCGCTGGAAAAAACGAACAATTTGTTTATATTAATATTAATATTTATTAGTATATTTGATATTTTATAATTTTTTATTTATTATCTTATATTTCGTAGGTTCTTAGCTACTGGTGATTCGTATAGAACAATAGCTATCAGTTATAAACTCGGACATTCAATGGTGCAATCGATTGTTATTCAAGTATGCGAAGCGATAATAGAGAATTTGATGCCACTAACAATGCCAAAACCTACAGTGGATAAATGGAAAAAAATTGCCGAAGAATTTTGGGATATTTGGAATTTTCCAAATTGTTTAGGCGCTCTTGATGGGAAACATGTGACCATTCAAGCTCCCGTAAATAGTGGATCTCAGTTTTTTAATTATAAGAAAACCTTTTCCATTGTTCTCTTAGCATTAGTCGATGCACATTACTTTATCGCGGTAGACATAAGCGGATATGGTAAGAATAGCGATGGAGGCCTATTTGCCAATTCTAAATTGGGCAAAGCTCTCGAAAAACATAAATTGAATATCCCGAAAGATAATGCGCTTCCTAATACGCAGAATGTTATGCCTTATGTCATAGTTGGCGATGAGGCATTTCCGTTAAAAAAATATTTATTAAGACAATATCCTGGTTCTCAAATTCAAGGAGATAGATCAAAAAGAATTTTTAACTACCGTCTCTCACGTGCACGAAGAGTGTCGGAAAATGTTGTTTGGAATATTGAGTCAAAAATTTCAGCTTTACAATCGAAGACTGAAGTTAAAACCAGAAAATGCAGATAAAATCATTTTGACTACGTGCATTTTGCACAATTATATCCGAGACTATAATATTAATGCCATACAACAAGACCACGCGCATAGAACTGACATTGGTTTACAAAATTTACTACGACAAGGAGGAAGTGCAGCAAATACTGCATTTACTGTTCGAGATGCATTCAAGGAATTTTTTATGACAAAACATGGCCGTGTTGAATGGCAAGACACAATAAATTAAAAAATATTTTATAAAAACTATTTTATTAGTACAATAAAATAAATTATATTCATCTTACCTGGCTGGTTCATTTCTTTCGCAATTCTTCTCCAAGCATTTTCTTTAAATATATTATCACTATATTTTGAATGGCTCATTACATATATAATGGCTCACAAGATTCAACCACTTCAATTAATTTTTCCTAGTCCATCTTGTTAATTGCGTCCGTTCTTCACCTTTATTCAGTTTAGACTGTCCGACTCGCCACCGACAAGTCCCGACACGTTCCGACACGAACCGTCAAAACATTCTTTGAATAATAGATTGTGATTGGTCAATTTTTTACGACTCCGACTTCCGACATCCATTGTAGACCGGGCCTAATGTCGGTCAATGTCGGTACGTTCCGTTGACGGAACGTACAGGTCGGTGCCGGTTAGTGTGGACAATCTCGTTAAAACGCATTATTTAATGTTTTGTCGTGTCAGTGACGGTCCGTGCCGTATAGTGTGAATCAACCTAACTGATGCAGATGCTAGGTCTACAATGCGAGTCGTAAAGTCGTGAGTCGTAAGAATTGACCAATCACAGTCGATTATTCTCCTCAAATTCGATTGTGATTGGTCAATTCTTACGACTCACAACTTTACGACTCGCATTGTAAACCTAGCATAAGTTTTCACCCAACAGTGGAAACGAGACTCTTTCGTGGAAATTCCACGAGATAAATTTTATCGTGACGGTTTGTGCCCGTCACTACACTTAAACGTTATAAAAAAAGTGCTGTTCTGTTAGATAAAATTTTATGAAAATTTATGTTAAAGTTACAAAATCATAATAACTTCGTAATAATACACACGCGACTTATACCACGATAAAAGAGAAATACGAATCTTATTCGCAAAAAAAATTAATGCTTATAATCGCGACACGCATTCGTCATGCAAATGGAACGATGACGAGCAAATGGAAACGGAACTTTATTTCCCGTGGTCGTATGCGTGAAGAAAGTTATTTTCCTCGAAGCGGTTTGCGAGGCAAAATCGTATTTCTCTTTTTTCTATTTTCCTTTAGGAAACTCGCCCACGTGTGATTGCTATGCTACTATTTAATATACTAGACACTACAGACGCGCGCTTCGCGCGCGCTATTTAGCTTTAACATTATGCTATTACTATTACACTATTAACTCCTTGATACACACCACTGTCAAAATATACAATGACAGCTGCAAATGAAGTAAGCGCAGCAAGAGAACCAATCGGCATCGCGGAAAAGCGACAACAATAAACTTCACATCTCCTTTTTAGAAGAGGATCGCCTGTCGATCGACAGACGACGAAAATTCACAGTGCGTGCCCGTACACCGTATGGTGTCAATAAGCAATCAATCTATCTTGTTTTCCTCATTGCGCAATATTATTAAAGGTGAAATTGCTATTTAATCGCAAACTGCATTTTGTCACGCATTGCTGATGCAATCGAAGCACAAACAATTACATTATTCCGCGCGGTTTACACTATTTTAACTCCAGACCATATCTCTCAGCGTATCGTCAGACGTTATAACATCAACTTTTACAAAACAAAACAGTGTCTCTAATTAAAGTTCGATTTTTTCCCGCAAGGTGGAGTCTATCGTGTATTCTTCCATAGATGATACATTAATCAATCAATCTTTATTAACTTCAGTTTTTGCCAAGAAGGGGACTAGTTTACGAAGTAAAACTTAAACTCACTCATACCTCCCAGGCAACTATACTACTAATTACTCCTATCTACTCTTCCCTGTTCTAGCATCTTTTTCTTTTAATCGTGATCCTGATCGATTCGATTCTACTGTAAGATTTTGTTGATAACGTCGAAAATATACTTCCACCGCGTCTGTATCGTGCGACATTATCGAGGATAGAAGATCGCAGAGAAAACTCGAGTGAAATTATGACGATAATTATACTTGCAGTATATCCCCACTCGCAATTTATGCCCTCCGCCCTCTCTTCCTTTAAGGCCTTCACACATAAAATCGTGTAAGAACGTAAAACGTAAGCGTAAGAAAATCGACCAATCCCAATCAAGTATTGTGCTGTCCGTAACCTCAGTAGGGGAAAATACTTGATTGGGATTGATCGATTTTCTTACGCTTACGTTTTACGTCCTTACGGCATTTTATGTGTAAAGGCCTTTAGCCTCTACAGCCTTCGCACACAACAATAACTGGTGGCTTCGTGTGTATAGGGGTGGTCGGGTGGTACAATATGGCGAAAGTATTGCACAACTTTATATGCCGGATAGATACAAGAACATCGCTATAAATACAGGAGGGGGGAGAGGTAAATGAGAAAATCAATATTTTTATATCCATTCACGTGAACATGAATCACTCTTGTGTTACCTTTGTGTAAGAAGAAATGACGCGTAATGCGAAATACATGGAAGAAAAACAACCGTAATCGGTTTCTCACTCACAAGATGTAATAACAGGATGTTTAGGATACAAAAGTACTAGTGTGGAGCTTCTTCGACTTTTGTTCCAAGCTTTGGGAAAAACATCTTACAGTCAGTAAATAAACAGAAGTATACGCGGTGTCCTGTAAAAGAAAATTTCCGAAAAAGATGTGTATCCAAGAAGTGAAAAAATTAATATTAGGGAAGCTTTATCCTAATCTCTTCATGTGGTCTTTTCAGTCAAACAACAATCTATTAAGAACACTTTATAACGTCTAATTAAACTGTTGCATTCTTACATAAAAAGGGACTAGGAAATATCTTTATCTGCATAACATACACAAGTATTTTATCTCATTTCTCGATTTTTAAATTTAAAGGCGAGGCCGCGAACACAGTCTCTTTAAATTAATAAATTCGGAAGCGAGCTGTAGTAAACTGCGTTTGATTAACGTAAGGACAATTCAGGTTCAAAATAATAAACCAACAACAGCAAAATCGGCTGTTCATTTTAAATACATACAAGCGGATCCGGCGAAACTACTCAAAATGCATAACCATCTTTACGATCTCGAATTAGCTGATCTTTCCAGCTAATCGGTCCTGCAAAAATGCATACTAAGGCCAGAAAATCGATTGGTCAAGACGTGCGACAAATGTCAAACTCAAATGTCAATGACACTGAAATATATACAAACTGGAACGAGCGCTGCCTTAGAAATCCACGGTAGGCGAGCGATATGAGAGAGAAGTCCTAAGTTCCTCTCTTCTCCTTGTCTAACTCACAACGTAGTCAAGAGTGGGAAGGATGGAGTGGGGATGAAGTACAGGCCAATCAAGAAGACCAGACAAAAACAGAGCGTTGCTCGAGACACCTTGACATGCTCTTTCTCATATCGCACAGGCAGGCCCAGCGCTCGTTCTAGTTAGTATATATTTCAGTGGTCAATGAACGAATTCGGGATTGCATTATTGGTACACGTCGCGACCTCCCGATAATGCGAGAAGGTAAATTTATTCGAGAGTAACGAGAAAAAATACGCTCTAGATAAACAGTGAAAGAGATTTATAGATGAAACATCGTAATAAATTCTAAAAAAACCAACTTTGAAGACATTAACATTCTACACAATTAAAAATCGTTTTTAAGAATTGCTCCGAACCTATTTTTTCTTTTAATTTTCTTTTTATTTAGACCGCGTTAAACAATCTACAATTCGTATTCGTATTCGTATTCGTAGGGTGTCCCAAAAAGACCGGAACACCGTTTTACTGACAAATTCTGTGAAACATTCTAAGACAAAAACTCTTATGCGAAAATGTCGAGGCTATAATAGTTTTTCAATGAGAATCACTTATAGTTGACGAATTAGTTTGTGAAAATTTCGCGCGTTCAGGCATGGTACATACATCACACAGAAAGTGAGGGTGTTCTTGTACATTAACTTAGTTTTTAGAATTAGC